GTGTACGCCAAGGGGCAACAGGGGGGGTGTGGGGAAGGAGGGGCGCACCTCGCCGGGCGAGAGGGGCTTGCACTTCGGCACCTCCATCCCGGGGTAGTCTGCGGCCAGGCGCGCCTTGGCCACCTGCACCGCGCTGCTGAACTGGATCGTGCCCGCAAGCAGCAGCCGCGCGCCTGCGCGGACGCGCGAGGGGGGGCGGAGTGTGGGGTTGGCGACAGGGTCGCAGGCTCGCACGTGGGGGCGCGCGACTGGCGATTGGGGAGCTAGCCACCGCCCAAACGCCCCGCCCAGCCATACGTTTGGCCACCTGCACGCTTCGCGCCTCAAAACGGAGGCGAAACCTTGAACACGCCCGCTATTCCGCGGCACACCTGGCTCCTCGGCATTTGTACACCACTCATAGCCCCCAAAACACCCAACCCGACCCCAAGCCAATGCAAGGGGCGTCACCCGCGCGGGCGTCACCAGGCAGCCACGCTGCCGCGCACCTTTGGGGAAGTTCAGCCTCACGGTGTCCACCAGGTGGTCGACATCCATCTGTATGTCAACAAACACGTACAGGCAGGGCACACCGGTGACGTCAACCGGCACCAGGCAGCTGGTGGGTGGAAGGGGGGAGCGGAGGATGAATGAGCAGCGCCACTTGTCAGCACGTGTTTTGCGAAGCGCCAAGTGCGAGCGTGCGGCCGCGCGCTCATGTGTGTGTGTGTGGGAGTGCACGTGAGAGTACGAATTTCAAGATCAAAATGTGTGTGTGTGTGTGTGTGTGTGTGTGTGTGTGTGTGTGTGTGTGAGTGTGTGTGTGAGTTGGGGGGCGTACTGAGGGGCTGCAGCAGGCACTGCTCGCGCCTGCCCCAAGCATTGAGACAGCAGCAGGCGTCCCAAAGCGGGGCAGGCCCCGGGCCGCCACCGCCGGCCCACCTGTGGCCGTAGTGCACCAGAAAGTCTGCGCCCAGCGCGGCGGCGCTGTAGTCGTCGACGCAGCAGGCGCCGTACGTCACGTCCCCCATCACAAACACGTGCTCCGCGCCTGCAATCGGTTGTGTCAGCCGGCGCGCAGCGTCGGTGGGGCCCGGGATCGAGCGTGTGCCCAACAGAGAGAGCCGCCTCAACCAGGCCTGGCTTGCGCCCCCAACCCTTTGAGAAACTGAGGTCGGCAAGCTCGCACGGCTCGAATCAGAACCGCGCCGCTTCCGCCCCCGCCCCTGGCCCTCCACCCTGGGGGCACAACCCCTCCCGCGCAGTCATTCCCTGCCCCAGGGCCTGCGCCGCACCCGCGTGGTCTTGCAGGATATCAGCGATGGCGCAGGCGTACATTAGCAAGCCCTCCGGGAACTGCAGCGTGACGCGCCGCGCGCCGGCCTGCCGCAGGCGCCACACGGTCTTGTGGATTTCGAAGTTGTAGTTTGCGGGCAGAGCCGACAGGGCTGTGGATGGTGGGGTGGGGGGTCGATGCGACGCGGCATGAGATGATGAGGGGGGTCGCGCTGAAGTGTTAGGAGTCGAGTGCGCAACCGTGGGGCCCCGTGCGCGGCGGCGGCAGCAGGGTGGCGGCAACGGGGTCGGCCGCGGGGGTTGCCGTCACCTGCATTTAGCCTGGGGTCGTTCAGGACCTCGTCAGGCACCTGCTGGCGCACGAACCGCCGGGGGCCCTGCTGCTGCTGCTGCTGCTGCTGCTGCTCCTGCTGCTGCTGCTGCTGCTGCGCGGCGGCCGCCTGCCGCTCCGGCGTGGCCGTCGCGTGCGGCACGAGCGCGCCGGCGGCGGCGGCTGTGTTTGTTGGCAGGCGGCAAGGCGGCGTACGTGAGTGCGCAGCGAGAGAGGTGGTGGGCTAGCGAGGGGGCTTGCACGGCTGCATTGAGCATGTTGAGCGCAGCCCCAGGACGCGGCGGCTGGCATGTGCAAAACGTTTCCTGGGGCCCTCACCTTGCCTTTGAGCCGAGAACCGCGGCGCATCTTGGGCTGCCATTGCCAGCGCCCCACTCCCCTACAAGGGCATGGCCGAGAGATCTGAGGCAAGCGATGCGATCTGCCAAGCTGGTGCAATCCCTGGCGAGCTTGAAGTACGGTGAACTGCAATTTTCAACTGCAATGTAAACGACCACTACACCGCACATGACAAGCGCAACGCAACGCCCGTACCCGAGGTGCTGCCCAGAGCTGAAGCTGCTACTAGGCAGGCCACCACTGCATGAGACGGCATGCGGGCTGCAGGCCTCTGGCCTGCCATCGCGATGCATGCTGCATTCACCAAGCACCGTGATCGCGCCACAGGTTGACATACAGGCATGCGCCCAGCCAACCGGGTGCCGGCTGCGCTGGCGTTGCAGGTGTCCCTGCGCCCATGTGCTTCGACAACCTCGAGGTGTGGCGATCAGGGCGGCACCACTGGCATATGCACTGCAACTTGGCGTATGCAAGATCATAAGTTGAGTCAGGCACATCGCCGTGCGCCGGCAGTTCTTGTGTGCCATTGCGCACTCCTGACGGTACGGTACTGCACTCTCGTGTGGTCGGCCGTCGCAAGATATAATCCTGCGACCATCCTGCGACCATGCCGATCCTTCAGAGGAAAGGTCCATCATTGTATGGCCCCTGTTCTGATCAAGGATGTGCCTCACTCGCTCGGAACGCCGCTGACTCAAGCACCATCAGTCATGACTGCGCGGGCATTCGTGGCTGCAGGCGCACTGGCTCAATGCCTTTCGGCAGTGGCGTCTCAGACTGCAATCGCGGTCATTGCAAGGTGGGCCATGCCTCGGTCAAGCAGCAGTGGCTTGCATGTAGTCACAATCACTTTGGTCGGCAGTCACAGCTGTGATACAAGGTCATGCAGCTAGGATGGCGTCGTGCGTCAGCTGCAGTGCTGTCGCGCCCCGCCTGCTGCCGCACCTTCCCTTGCGTGAACCTGGCTGGCCCCCTTGACTGCCAGCTCAACCGCCAACTGCCAGCCACAAGTTGTTTCATCACAAATCATGCATTGCCCTCTGCGAGCAGTCGCACGGCCAATCCCCTGCTGGAGCCGTACGCCTGCAACCATATGGCCTGCCAGCTGCCAGCCCTGGAGACGTGCCTGCTGGCCGCCATGGAGGCGGCGGCAGATGCGACGCTCGCGCTGCGCCCAGCAGGCGCCGCCACCGCCGCCGCCGAGGAGGGTGCGATTGCTCAGGGCAGCGTCAGCGCCCGTGGCAATGGAGGCGGGGCAGCGCCAGCGCGCCCGCCGTGCGGGTCAAGGGCGGCGAAGGAGGCAGGGAGCGGCCCCGCCCTGCCGGCCGGAGCGTGGCAACGCGAGCATGGGGCGCGTCTGCTGGGGTCAGGGGAGGAGGAGCCTTTGACAGAGGCAGCATTGCCCGGCGGCAACGACAGCGGCGACGGCGGTGACCACGACGACGGCGGCCAGCAGCCCAAGCGGCGGCACCGTGCAGTGAGAGGGGCCAAGGGCGGAGAGGGGCCGAGGGCGTCAGCGGGGTGGGCTGGTGACGGGAGCTCAGGAGGGCGGAAGCGCTTTCATGTTGCTCTGCCTTGGTGTCAGCAGGACATCGGGTGGTTTGCCCTTGGACCACGCCAAGGCCGGCATGCGCGTATACTGCGCGGCGTCGGGTGCTCGCTCTGCGGGTCCCGTTTGTGCGTCTGATGATGTGTCGGGTGTCTGATGCAACGGGCCTTGGCTGACGAGTCGAGGTGCCTTCTCCCCGTGTACAGGACCGCAGATCATGGCTGCGAGTGCCCTTGAGAACATCACGGCCGAGCTGGCGGAGCTGAAATGCAGAGAAGCACGCCTCGAAGCCGAGCTCAGCCAGCTGCAGGGGCCAGCAGCCACAGAGGAGAAGGGGAGCATCCGGAGACGGCTCGAGCTGCTGGGCCAGGAGCGAGTGGTGCTGCGGGAGCAGCAGGTGTTGTGGCTGAAATGTCAAATGCAGGAGCAGCAACAGCAGCAGCCTGCCCTGTCAGGTGGGCAGGGGGGGGGGTGCTGTGTACCATACGGTACCGTAGTGCACGCCTGGTGCACGCAGAGCGTGTTTGATCCACCGAGCAGATACTGAGATTTGCTTCCTTCAGACTCACTACCCCTATGAAGCTTGCTTGGCAAACGCGAGCAATGAGTGGTGCATGACCTGCAGCTGCACTCCAACGCTGCGATTCTGTAGAGTGCCTGCGGGCCTGCTCACCTTGTGGCCTGCGCCATCCCTCTGCACCCTGCACGCCTCCCGCCTGGGTTCCTCCATCGCCCTGCGGCAGCAGAGGGTGAGTCACGCGTGCTTCTGTGAGGGTGCTCGGGGCCGTCCCGCGCCCAGCCTGTGTCAGTGTGCTGGTTCGCAGTACTGGAGCAGCAGCAGTTTCGCATGTCACGCAGAGTGGCAGCTACTTTTGGGCCACATGATGTTGGCTCCTCTGCTTTCGCAGCTCCACTGTGCATGGTCCTCCTCCGCGCAGTTCTGATAGAATAATCAACCAATCCATCTTCCTCCCTGCACTGATATGTTCGCCCATGCTGCTTCCCCACTGGCCGCTGGTCGTCCCTTCTTTGCATGTGTGGTGCCATTCGCCGTCCTGCCTGCCCATCACTCCATCCGTGATGCCGGTTTCTTGCAGGAGGAGCGGCAGCAGCAGCAGGTGAGGCGGTCATGATGCTGCACCCGTTGCTGGGGTGGGGTGTCAGGAATGGTGCTGGGTGGAGGGGAGCAGTGTCCTGGACGCAGTCCATCCTGCAGGCGGTAAGTCATGATTTTGCTTTTGTCCGTTTTAGAGTTGAACGCTGTGGGCAGGTCAAGGCGCATTGCCTCTGGCTTTACACAGCATTACTGCTGGTGTTGCGTGCCTGCTTCACCAATGCTCGCGGCCACCAGTCACCTGCTATGCTGCCCAACCCATGACAATAAGGCTCGTCTGGAGGAGCAGCAGCAGCAGCAGCAGCAGCAGGTGAGGCTTACAGATTGCCGCAGGTTCAAAACACATTGTACCAGCTAGAAGCAGGCATGCGTGCATCATGCTGGTAGGCCTGCGCACATCATATTGCGCGATGAGCCGCCACTTGTGACGCTCAACCTCCACCGTCGTTTTGCGTGTGCATGCTTCTTTCCCCTTGTCGTTGGAAACCCACGATACTCTCTTCCACAACTCTGCTCCTTTGCCTGACGGCATGGCATTTCAGCCACACCCCAGCGGCTGGAGCAGCTAGAGCAGACGGTACAGCAGTTTCAGGGGCAGCTGCAGATGATGCAAGCCTTGTTCTTCCAGGTGCTGGACTACTCAGAAGCAGCAATCACCACTGCATCCAGCACACTTGAGTTCAAGCAGACCCTGATAGACAAGTACAGCAGGCTTGAAACCAGCGACGCTGGCATTACCATCAGGTGCATGGTGACAGGGCAGTACCTCCCCACAAGGTTCGTCATCGCCTCGCACCTCTGGAAGCGTGCATGGCACAGGTATGTGGCTGGCAAGTCACGCCGCAAGGCGGTTGACATTGCTGATTTTCTGGTATGCAGTGGGATCAGCTCTTTGTTAGATTGTGCTCAATTGGATCCACAATTGCCCCTGACGCTGGTGACCTTCTAGTGAGCGACCCGCAACAGTGTGGCGCCAGGCGGGTCAGCGTGCGTCAACCCCTGCTCTGGCATGGTCACATGCATTGCCGACCGTACGATTTGTTCACCTGCTACACACATGCATCCTCGCCTGTGCAGGTATATGTGGTGCATGGACCTGGCGGGAGAGATCAACAACTTCATGAATGGGCTGCTGCTGTTCAAGCCCATGGCGTGGGCTTTTGACACATCTCGCCTCTGCTTCACCTGGGACCAAGGCTGGGGCCACTATGTGCCCCATCTCCTGGACCACAACCTCAAGGACACCACGCTGATGGACAAGCTCCTGGAGTTGGCGGTTGCGGATGCGAAGGTGGGACCATGCGGGCTAGCCATGGATGCAGTGGCACCCTGGATGGCTTCGCGGGTCAATGAATAGCATGCGGAATAAGGTATCATGGGCGTTGCTGGACTCTAATGCAGCATCTGTGCAGCATTGAGCGGTCAAGGTTCTTCCGCACACATGTAAAGCTTGCGAGGCGCAACGGCGCAGCCTTGCAGTAGCTGCAAAGAGACATCTCACATGCTGCCAGAGAACATGACATCGGCATGATTGGGCCGTGTCGCTGACAACACACTCAATCCTCCGTGTGCGTCTCGCAGTTGCGTCCTACACCAACTGAGAGGGAGGTGATGGGGAAGTGCCTGGAGGTGCGCGCCACAGGCAAGCTCATCACGTTCGGCGACCTGCCCAGCTTCCCGCTGACGGCAGCCAAGGGCATGTCGGCCCCGCAGCCTTTCCAGCGCATCTTGGAGTTCCATGCCAAGCGGGCATCAGCCAAAGCCCGTGAGATGGGCTGGTCGCATGAGCCTGTTGGGTTCTCGGCTGCTTCACGATACAAGATGAGGTCTGCAGTGCTGGCATGGCTGGAGGACGCAGCTGCTGCTGGTGCAGGTGTGGCGCAGCCACCTGCAATCGTGGCTGGCGCGCTGCAGGAGCTGGTGTAAGCCCGGTGCGGCAGCATTGGTAATCAGACGCCCTGTAGAATTTGGCTAGGTGCTGCCAGCAGTCAAAGTTCTCCTTTTCCCAAGGGCCTTTCGGGCTTTCTGCAATGTTTGTGAGAGACAAACCTGTACATGTCGGCTGTGCTGTCTGTTATATGTCGTCTTTGCTGGTCATGTACAGTACTGCATTTGGTTGCTATGAACACATGAAATTTTGAGCTGAATCTGACCCACCTGACTTCCACACACCGGCAGGCTCATCTACATACCCACCCCCTCCATCCCATCTTTGCCACACGAAAGCATACAATACCCTTGCCAGCCCCTCCAACCCCCTTGAACCCTCCGCTGCCCGCTGTAACACACAAAATCGGCCACCGAACGGAAGTGCGTGCAAGGAAACCATTTACAGCAGTGCAGCATCACAATTGATGCAGGCAATGTAAAAACCAGGAGGCAGCTAAAATGCGATGCATGCGAGGTACAGGTTTGATCTGCAAATGGGCGTACCAGCCATAAGAAGCCATGGCGCACCTGTCACATCTGTGTGCATGTGGTGTGGGCGCGGCTGTCAAGATGGAAATCCTGTTTATACCACCCCACAACCGTGCTCCTGCTGATCCCTCAGAGGATAAAGTTCAATTGTTGGGCCTCTCTCATTTGGTCAAGTCTGTGCTCCACTCGCTTGGAACGCCGCTGACTCAAGCACCATCAGTCATGACACAGACTGCAGCAGTAGTTGACGCAACTTCGTTGGACGACGGTGCCTGCTGGCCCCGGCACCAGACACATGGAAAAATCTGCCTTGAGTAGTCCCCACAAGCGCATCGTGCCGTTGTAGCCAAAGGAAGTCGTCTGTCGGTTCGATTTCACCGCGTGTTCCGTTTGGCACACACGAGAGTTTCGGCTAAGCTTGAAAACAACACCTTAGTCCTACGCATATTGCTTACAGCCGCTGCGCCACGCGGTCACGTTCCGCGTCCGAAGTCAAGAAGATCCGATCTGGCAGGTGGCAGCTCTCCTCGTCAGGTGAGCCTGCGCACCGAGAAGCCAGCATGCGCAGATCACGCTACGTTCAGTGTGTATGTGTAAGCTCGGCGCACGTGTTCGTGCTGGACCGCCGCCACTGCCACCCGCCGCTGCTGCCGCGCCATGCTGGCGCCCTGCATCTTGTCCGCCTCGGGCTGCCTGCTGCGCGGTGCACCTGGTGCTTAGATACTAATGTAGCAACCCACACAAACTATGCTACGACATGCGGGCCTTGAGCCCCTCCCCATGGCCTGACTCCGCCACTCCTCGCCCGCCCACTCGCCCGCTCGCCCGCTTTCCTCACACTTTCCAGCCCGCAAGACCCTTTGTCACCGCACCTCGATCCGGTCATCATGCCTGCATCCACCGCCCCCGATCGCCTGGTGTTCCTGGTGAGAGAAGTCACTCAGCGGCCGCCCCCCCATCCGAGCGCGACTGCATGCGGCCGCCGCAACCCCCGTCAACGAGGTGTTGGAGGCTGCCGCGGCGCGTACGGGGCCCCCATC